CTTTTATGCGAAAAGACAAAAATGTGATTTAGATCGTTCTTCCCCTGGACTCTTCACATGTGTTTATTTATGTTTGGAAACTTTATTAAAAATACATTAGATAAGAGCTACATCTGCCTATTACAGGTCATTAGTTTAGCTTCAAATGTTATATAAATTATTATTCTGACATTTGTGCACATGGCAAACCTATAATCAAGCCTATAATTGTATTCAATTTATTCCCCAAAGGCTGTAAATCTCAAGAATTTCTCTAAAGAAATATTTAAAGCGTTGTTCAAATTACGATGATCTCTAGATCATCGGATCGCTGATATTTAAATAAACTAAAATACCCGCGAGATCTAAAAATTGAACGAGAAAATGGATAATCGAGACTTAGCTCCATATTCATAAACAATTGAACGATACACTGGATAATCGAGACTTAGGTCCATAGTCATAACCAATTGAACGATACAATGGATAATCGAGACTTAGCTCCATAGGCATAAATAATTTATGTTGTTACACCTTCAAACAGTTATAACTTTGCATGAAACTTTCAGTTATATTCATTTTTCATCTATTATTGAACTATTAGCAAGAACGATCAGCTACATCTTTAATATATGTCGTGATAGGTTGAGCTATTGATGGCAATAGATACATCACTAGAAAATTGAACTTGTCAACTTACTAAACTTTATTTATTTGCACGCGAACTATTTATTAGTATCGGAATTTTATGAAATCGGGGGATTGGATGACCGAATTGTTAGCACGCGCGCGTTGTATCATAAGGCCTGTCATTGAGTCAACTGGCGTGGTTTCGTATCCCCGGTTGTACGTGACAATGTGTAGGGTCGCCTGTCCAACCTCGTGGGTTTTCTCCGGGTCCTCCGGTATCCTACCACTACTAAAGACCCCTATGCGCAAGCGAATTAATGAAATAAAAAAATAAAACCATGTTAGTCCAGAAATGACCTAGTTTGTGTCGAGTGGACGTTGAAGGAGCTAAGTCGCTAATATTTGGGACCTAGAAATTGACACAAATGGGTCGCAACGCATACAATAATGTAATATGAATGTATATAAATTGATTTACATTCAATCGTTTCTGTTTTTACTGTAATTTCTAATCAGTTAGGTTCGGCGACATACGCCAGTATTCTCAATCGAATTTCAATCTCTAGCTTCTGGTTATTCCAGTCTACGCCGATAGTATTTATTGGGCATGCTCCCCAGATAAGAATATAGCGTCACCGTTTGACATGACTTGTGGAATATGCCTAGCCTCGTTTTTCGAGTTCTTTATTACGCATAGCGCTGAAACGCATTATGATACACGATTCGTGTACCAATTGTAAAATGTTTATTTTGTCTTAAATATTGGATTTCACAAGGCCATCTTTTCCCGGTAAGATCACAACATCAATGTTGATTTAAACCGACAAACAATTCGTGTTTTTAATGTCGAAGATTTTGGATGATATTGAGTTAGAGACTTAGCTACTTTAAACGCCAATTCTCCCTCTCGCTCTTTATGAAATCGCAATGTTAATGAAATGGAATGGGATGTAGCGTCTTTTCTTCATCAACCGAGCAAGAAAGGTCCCATTAATAGGTCGGTCCCGAGTTCACAACGTATTCTCAGACGTAAATGGGGCATTAGGTAAGACTAGATATAGAACCGACAGCTCTCGCGTTAATAGTTAACAAATAGATAATGAAAACAGAAAATATTGAAAATTTCAGTCACATTGCTTCACTATGAACCTAGATATTAGCGATTCAATTTTAGGTTATAGCCTCGATCATCATTACTAAAGTTTGTACGATAATAAACAAAGTCTTGGTTATGCATTTTTACGTTAAATTATCCATCACAAAACTTGATTCAAATCCACTAAATATCACAAGATAACGATGGCATCTCGTAATGAGTTAGATAATATTTCATGCATAAAGAATTTACTCAACTTAAAAATCACAGTATATGAGAAATATCTTTTATCCAGAAACACAAAACTTTACTCTGTGTTTCTTATTGATGTATTTGATACATTAAAACAACAAAAGTTATATCAAGGGCTATACTTTAGTCACAATAAGGCGAACAATTTTGAGTCAAATTCTAGTGCTAGGCTCCCACTGTTCACGATCTGGTACGTGCAGATACGTTCAGCTACGATCAACATGATTGCTACGACTAACCCCAATAACTTGTCAGGATAATCAGGATTACTACACGATTAAAACTACGATTTCAATCGTAGCTCGAATCCGGATAGTGGGAACCAATCTGATTAAAGTACAGATCTATATTTCGTTTCGTTTTTTTATACTTTCAATGGCCTACACTATATGAAGATCTGACCGGTTGTAGCAGCAGGTCGCGTCAGAGGTCATACGAGTGTCTTTTGACCGATGACGTCAGACATTTGATTAACCAATCAGCATTGATGTTACTAGTGGATTACCCACAGTTCCGTGCAAAACACGCCTCAAGCTCGCCGTAGCAGGCCATTTCATTGGCTAATCCCTCACACCATTCAGCTCACGTCAATGATAACAACTCTTCCAGATCCTAGTGTAGTAAGACAAGTAAAATGAAATTTTGAACTATAAAAACGAAACGAAATAGGGTCTGTGTTATAATCAGATTGAGTGTTAACTTAGGTCCATAAATAAGTGATTTTTTTTTAAGATGATAAATCAAAGTCGGGAAATTTTGACCGGTTCATATCAATTGAGTTACGTAAACGATCGTAAGGAACTAACATGACATGATAATGGTGACAACCACAATATCGGTAGAGAGCTAGTCATGGTTATCCAGGGACTTATATTGTGTGGAATTTGGGAACTAATTGTTTGTAGACTAGGATAGCTACTTTTAACTGACCTGTTAAAAACAATTAACCAGCTCTATCCACTTGTATACGAGACCGCCCATTCAACTTAATAAGAAATTGCAATGAAATGGGGTTTAACGTCCTATTGTTCTGCTCCGAGTGGGCTAATGAAGACGTAAATACACCATACTGTGTGCTATGAGGGAAACTCTTCCAGCACCTCGGCGCTATAACCTACTCTTATATCGAATTCCAACTGCCAATGGATCTTTAACCTGAAAGACAATGTTCACTCGGGACTTCGGGTTTTCGTCCCATCCGAACGACTATACGTTGCCCCTTATGAGGCCCTCGGTCCTGCACCACTGACAAGGAGGAAACACACCGGAAAATCCCGATGAACTTTTTCGGCCAACGCAGGGATCGAACACAGGACCTTCTGGTTAGCGAGGCAACGTCCTACCCGCTGACCCACCGTGGCTCCCAATCTGATTAGACAGTTTTCATTATCCCAGTTGGTGCGGAAAGGTAAGACGTTAAACCAATTTCATGTTATTTACGACCTGAATGAATTTATGTATACAGTACATTGTGCATTCCATGTGTTTAACAGGAAGCATTTAACTCGGGGCTACATCAGAGTTATTAACAGTCAATACTTGACGTAAAATTATACATAACGAACATCTCATCGAGGCATGATAATTTCAATTAAGTATAATACAAATATATTGCCCACAAGCGACTAAGTCATTCAAATGGTTATGAGCTAGACTACTCATCTGAATAAATCGTTGAATGGGCAATATCCTTTCACTAGGATATATGAGAGGGTTGGAGGAGAGAGGGGGGGGGGTTAACGTGCACTCGACACAAACTAGGTCATTTCGGAACTAGCATATGGTTCAATTTTTTTTTCAATAATTCGTTTGCGCGTAGGGGTCTTTAGCAGTGAGAGGTGCCGGAGAAAATCCACGAGGTTGGAAAGGCGCCCCTACTCCTTGCCACGTACAACCGGGGATTCGAAAACCACGCCAGTTGACTCAATGACAGACTTTATGATACAGCACACACGTGCTAACCATTCAGCCATCCAACCCCCCAAAGTCACAGAACGATAGATCGTTAATCATTCGTAATAACGAAGGGGAATAACTCTGGTTTAAGATCAACAGGTGTCTTCATTTTGATTGGAAGGATACAGGGATCATTGTATATAGTATCCAGTGTGCTAACAAGAAATATGAAAGGATGGACGGAGAGAAAGAGAGAGAGTGGTGGGGGGGGGGGTAACGTCCACTCGACAAATACTAGGTCATTTCGGGACTAACATATGGTCCTATTTTATTTCAATAATTCGCTTGTGCGTATGGATCTTTAGCAGTGGGGTGATGCCGAAGGAACCGGAGAAAACCCACGAGGTTGGACAGGCGGCCCTACTCCTTGTCACGTACAACTGGGGATTCGAAACCACGTCAGTTGACTCAATGACAGGTCTTATGATACAGTGCGTATGAGCTAACCATTCGGCCACCCAACCCCTCTACGGATGGACGGATAGACAGACTGACTGTAATATACAATAGTTTGAGTGGTAGTGACAGGTGTCCTTGAGAGAAAAAAAGCGTCAAATCATCAGCTGGACACCAGTCACCACTTCTCGTTCAGTGGGTGTGTCCACTAGCCAGAATGTAACTAAAGGAGTATTTCAATATCTTCACAAAATCGGCAGTAAGAAAAGGGTTATTCGAATGATAAGGCATGTACTTGGCTCCTTTTTTGTTATAAAGAAATGTTTATTCCCTGGGAACTGACCTGCAGTCCCGTCAATCAAATGCTTACCACTAGCATCACCAGAAAAAATACATATAGCTAAGATTGAATGCAGTTACGAAAATGATGATGCCACAAATACAAAGGCAAGCTGATAACTGTTTTAAATAAAGTCTAGCTCACAACCAGCCCCATGTGCTACTATGGAATGTCTACGGTGTTCAGCACCGTAGAAGATCTCACAATGGTCGTAGAGACTTTTGGTCCTGCACCCGGTTTCTTGCGGCTGTCAAAACACGTACGACAGTTTGCGAGTCAGGCGTGTATCGTGCCTGTGGCGAATGTAAACTGTCCAAACAAATAAAACCGTATGCACGTGTGTTGAAATAATTAAGCAACTCCAATTAACTGAACAGGTCTGGGCGACCTGGCAGATTCCTCTTCAGGAGCACTAGCACATTGTCCTAAATCAAAGAACCAAATTCTAAGATGCTTTCTGAAATGACTACTAGTGGCAACATATATAAAAATGTTACACGCATGATGAGAAATTCCGATTTCTTCAATAACTTTTCTAATTGTGAAATACGCAAAATAGTTTTGCCATGTTGGGTCTTTGTTCATTTCGTCCATAGTCATTGGTCCTCCTAAAGGTATTTTGTATTGAATCACAAAAGAAATGGTCACAGGTAGCTTTGTAAAGATTAAATAAAATGAAATCCACAGCAATGTTACCGTTGTGCTGGTGCAACGAGAATGTGCATTTCGTGTGATCGAGTCACTGATGAATAATTTACCCACAGTTTTGATTTGTCTTAAGACACATATATTTAAAAATAAAACAATTATGGGCAGCACCCCAAACATAATGATTTCCGTACTCCAATTCCAAATGGTATACAAAGATGTCTCAGAGGTTGCGTCAGCATTCCCCCGAAGGTGACATTCTCCACTATGAGGATCAACGTCCCAAAAGTACCCCTGGGGCAATGCCAATAAAAATGAGACAATAAGTATAGCGATAATAATGTTCCTTGATCTGGACGTCCTGGAGAAGCGTTCACACTGAAAGGGGTGACAAACGGATAGAAATCTCTCAGTGGTGAATCCAAGAACCAGGAAAACACTAATATACTGCGTCATCATGTACAGGAGATTCCACACAGAGCACCAAATGAACAGATCGAGCACACTCTTCCTCCACGGATACTGCAACTCATAGAACACAAGCAGCACCAGAAAAGATATATCCGCGAATGCTAAAGCTATTAGATAAAGAGCCGAGGTGTTGCATTTTCTCATCCGTCTCATAATCCATACCTTTGTCGACAAGAGGTTACCAATAATCCCTAATATGCACCAGACTGGTGTGCAGTATTTATCAATATCCAAGGCGAACGGAACATGGTAATGTAAAACTTTGGATAAATCACTCCAACTATTAATCATCACCAACGAGCCAGTATCCACTGTTGAGTTCATCAGGCTGGTCATCTGAAATAGTCAATAATAAAGAGCATTAATAGACGTGAGTTTTGAATAATAATTTACAAGCAAATCAGCACGTTGTGGAGTTATTATCATCTGTCGTCTAAAAATGTTAAAACAGATCGACGCTCCTTGGAACATTAACACAGTGTTTTGCCCCGTGAGACCGGGGTGGCGTCCATACTGCGCTGCTGCGGCCGTGCGGCAAGCCAGAAAATGCACAACGTCGCCGGCAAACGCGAACACAACACGAGTAAATGTCCCAAAAAATTACAAACTTAAAAAGAGCCGCTTTCTCGCAACTTTGCGGGTCAGATCGCAGAACCTTGGCGTTTGTTTTGAATATGCTCAAAATAAACGTCGTGACCCGGCGAACATTGGCGACCATATAAACCACACCACGATATCTGGCGTTTCCACCACGCTTTTACCACGCTTAGAGTAATCTTCACGCGCTCGAAGACAATTTTCCGTCGCCGTAGCAGCGCAGTAGGGACGCCACGCCGGTCTGACGGAGGTTCTAATAGTATCTGAAAGACAAATACACGTGTAGAGCTCTATGGGTATTATCATCTAAAATGGACCAAAACGCAAACATCCGCAATTACCTGAACATGGAATCAATAAGATATCGATTAAAATTACCACACGATTTAGATAAACCCATTTAAAGGACAATATTGGGGTCAGTCATTATCACATATGTGATAGAACTGGTTAAACACGTTCCAAATATTATTTTATCACAGAGATCAATGCTACGATAGATGAGTAATGAAGATTTCAATAAACGGAAGTGACGAGCGCAAAAGGAAAACACGAGTTATCCTTCTATATAACTGACTGAAGTGACGAGTAATAACAGATACACGGGCGAATTCCTGCTCACTAATAATTTCCTGGAAGACCAAAATTTGTTATCTGAGACTGCACCGCTGACAAGGGGGAACCACATCGGGGAAAATCCCGATCAATTTTCTCGGCCAACGCAGGGATCGAACACAGGACTCACAGGATAGCGAGCCAACATCTAAATCACTGAGTCACCGTGGCGCCGTTTCTAAACAGACCAAAGAGTTCATTGCAAAATCATTACAACATACATTATAAAGGAAATTAAAATGTATTTAATAGGTTCTCAACTTTTAAAACGCCGAAAGAGGTGAGGTATAAATGTATACATTATTTTCCATTTAGAAGAAAACAATTTAATTTCCAATTTATTTTCCATTTAGAAGAAAACAATTTAATTTCCAGATTATTTTCCATTTAGAAGGTAGCAATTTAATATCTAGATCATTTCTCATGTAGAAGAAAGCAATTTAATTTCCAGATCATTTCCATGTAGAAGAAAACAATTTATTTCCACATGTAAACGGAAAGGAGAATCATAAAAATGGTCATTATCTTGTAATTAATATCTTTTGGGTAACCACCGATGTTTTTGTTTTATATAAATTTATTAAACTTTATAGTCTCTAAAAAAAACACACACGTTTCTTGATTCTCCTTCAACTTTTAAACAATGCGCATGTACACTTTACTCACCGGCCAGGCATAAACAAAGTCCACTTCTTGTGGTCCATTTGTTTATGAACCTTACGCATTATACTCGCCGGACAACGTTTCATGCTTCACTCAAGAAGTGGACGATTCTGGGGGAAGTTCACTCCTTAGTCTCTAAGGGAGGGGTGGGGGATGGCCGAATTGTTAACACGTGCGCGCTGTATCACAAGGTCTGTCATTGAGTCAACTGGCCTGGTTTCGATTTCCCGGTTGTACGTGACAAGGAGTATGATCGCCTGTCCAACCTCGTGAGTTTTCTCCAGGTCTTCTGGTTTCCTCCCACTGCTAAAGACCCCTATGCGCAAGCATATTATTGAAATAAAATTGAACCTTGTGTTAGTCCCGAAATGACCTAGTTAAACCCGTTCCCCTTAGCCGCTATACTACAACATCTTTTAGACACAACGGTTAATGTTACCACATTATATTTGGGCCAGTCAATATGACAGTCGGCTATGTGTAAACGGGAATCTACGGTGGCTAAGTGGTTAAGACGCTGGTTCGCTAGCCTGGAAGTCGCGTGTTCGATCCCTGCATTGCCCGAGAAAGTTAATCGGGATTTCCGACGTTGTCCCCCCTTGTCAGTGGTGCAGGGCGGAGGGTCTGACAAAGACAGCTGTCTAGTAGTTCGGATAGGACGAAACACCGAGGTTCCGTGTATACATTAGCGTGCATGTAAAAGATCCCTTGGCAGTTGGAATTCTATATACGATTAGGCTATAGTTCCGCTGCCCGGGCAAAATTTCCCTCGTGGAACACTGTATGCATGTCTTTATTAGCCCAGTCTGAGTATAACAGTACTACGTTAAACCCCATTCCATTTGATGCTATGTGTGAACATATCACAAGGTAATATTCCCCTTTAATTCCAATGTAAAAAAAAATAATAATAATTAATTACAAACCTAAACGTCACAGAAACTAAAAGTTTCTCCTCTTTTGAAATGTCAGAAGAGACGAAAGTACATGTTATATTTAGAAAAAAAAGCAATTTAATTATCTTTCACTTAGAAGAAATCAATTTATTTCATTTTTTAGCCAGTCTAAGTAAAACCGAACGAAGACTTATCGTGAAAAAATATCAATAACGAAGAGACATAATGGTGATTGTTCACCTTTAAATAACCCAAGTTTCGTTTTTATCTCATCAGTTTTAATATTTCTTTCGACTCTAAAAAGAAACATGTTTCGTGTTTTTCATTCAATTTCGCAATCGAGCTAACGGATTTTTGTATCTAATAGTACACAACCTTGCTACGGTTGGACCGGGGAGTCATGGTGGCTCAGTTGATAAGACGTTGGGTCTGGTTCGGGAAGCCACGGTAGCTCCGTTAGTAAGACGTTGGATCTGGTTCGGGAAGCCACGGTAGCTCAGTTAGTAAGACGTTGGGTCGGTAACCTAGGGGTCCTAAGTTCGATCTCCCTGCGTTGGCCGAGAAAGTTCATCGCGATTTTCCGGAGTGCCCCCCCCCCCTTGCTTGTCAATGGTGTAGGGCAGAGGGCTTGGCTAGGGACAAGGTATAGTCATTCGAATGATACGAAAAACCGAGGTTTTTGCATGCACGTAAAAGAACACTTGACAGATGGAATTCGAAATAAGAGTTGACCGTAACGCAAAATAGCACACATGGCATGGAATATCTCCGTTCAACTTCATTCCAATTCTATGGAGTATTTGAGCAAAGGATGAACTTTAATGTCGTCTAAGTTGATCCGAAAGTGACATAATTCTGATGAGATTTTATATAAAAATTAGAAGACATCAATTCAAAACCGAATATGCATATGCCGATTAGATTGGCACGAGATGGGAAATACAGAAAATGACAGTCAATGCACTATAATACTGAGTAATTATATTGTACAACCGGGGTTATAATCATTGACAAAATCGACGGAAAATGCGTAGGTAGTTGGGTGTTCTCGATCCGTGTTTCAGAATAAACTTACTTCGGGTAGACGGCTTGACGGACAAGCTAATTAAAACATGACGTTATTTTCATTCCGTTGAATTGGTTTGTCACCAACGTAAAGACGTATACCAACTGAACATTTTTGACCCTTGAAATGAGTTGATAATCCAAGCCTTTTGGGATATTATGCGTGTCGTTGATTTTAATTACTAGGATAATCAGGGTTGTCGTGAAGTTAAAACACGCGACAAAACTATGGAAGACCAAACGGCTCTCTATTCAATATTCTTAATTCTTAGTTCTTAATTCATAGTCCTTAATTCTTATTTCTTCATTTGTTGTCATATTTCGACATTTGTACACTAAAATTAACATTTGTATCTTAAAATCAATATTTGTTTCACAAATCAGACATTTGTCATATCAGATATGTAAAATGTATTTTTGTTTAACTTAATTGTATTTTAATATAAAGATAATTTCCTATTAGAAAATCAAACAATTAGCCTACATTTACATTTTATCAAAGAAATACAACGAAAAAAAAAATCTCGAACAACAAATTTCCAAATCCACGGTTGTACGTGACAAGGAGTAGGGTCACCTGTCCAACCTCGTGGGTTTTCTGCGGGTCCTCTCGTTTCCTTCCACTGCTAAAGATCCCTACGCGCAAGCGAATTATTGAAATAAAATTAAACCATATGTTAGTCCCAAAATGACCTAGTTTGTGTCGAGTGGACGATAAACTCTCTCTCTCTCTCTCTCTCCCCCTCTCTCTTATGATTCAGCGCGCACGCGCTAAGCATCCAACCCTTACTAGACAAATAACAGAAGAGACACAATTGACTGAGCTTCTGACTGATTTTGTAAAGAAAACGTTCTGATCAATTGAACTCTACGATCGGTGAATATAAACAACATTCCAAATCAATCGTCACTGTCACAGAAAACATTGAAAATCTCAATTTATCGACACAGAATATAGAATTTTAAAAGGCAGAATAAAAAATAAATGTAAGTGCTAGTGAAGTGCATAGTTTTGTTACACATAGAATAGACCACTCTATTAATAATAAATGAATTTGATGTTCGTTCCTTGCTTCAATACACTTATAAACATATAGATTTGAATGATAACAATGTTAATAACGGTTCTGGTGATCAATGCAAATGGTAGAGGATGTGCATAGGTTTGTTCCACATAGTCGACCTTATTGATAATCAATCAACTTAATGTTCGTCCCTTGCATCAATACACTTATACATAGATTTGAGTGAAAACAATGCTGATGACGTTTCTGGCGCACATCGTAAATATGAAGCACAACCATTTGT